CATTATTCTCAGCACACTTCATTTGACTGCAATCTATCATGTAAAGTCAGGTGTGGAATTTGCACACATGACATCAAGTTACTTTCAAATTTTTCATATTTTGGAGCATTTTGGATTTTCAGATTAGAGATGCTCAACCTATAATAACATCCAGAATAAGAAGCTATACACCATCGGGGCTGGGGCTATTGCTCAGTAGCATACTTGCCTGGCATGTGTGAGGCACTGGGTTCTATTCTCAGCGCCACGTATAAATTAATAAAAAGTCTATCAACAACTAAAAAGAAATTTTTTTTAGTTGTAGATGTACAGAATATCTTTATTTTTATTTATTTTTTTATGTGGTACTGAGGATCAAACCCAGAGCCTCACATGTGAAAGGCAAGCACTCTACCACTGAGCTACAACCCAGCCCAAGAAACTTTTTTAAAAAGAAGCTATACACCATAACTGAGTAAAATTTTTGAATGTCACATTATTTGAGCAACCACTGAATCAATAACTGCAAACAAGATGTGATTATTATGATTTGTCTAGACCCTACAAATCAGGTCCTACCTATGCGGTTAGGGTGGGATAATTTCAATACTGTTGACACTATATAATGGGAGATAGGAATAACCACAAAATCTACTGCAAAAGATTACAGAAATGAAGGCTGGGACTAGAGCTCCATGATAGAGCGCTTGCCTAGCATGTGTGAGACACTGGGTTCAATCCTCAGCACCATATAAAAATAAATAAATAAACATACTGTGTCCATCTACAATTAAAAAAATCCATATTTTAAAAAAGGGATGAAATGAACATAACTTAAAAAAGATTACAGAGATGAATTATAACTTGACACTATTTTTAAGCTCTATTGTTTTAATAAATTCTTAATTTATACTAAGATTTAATCATACACATTGAGCTTTTCTAATCTGAAATGCTCCAAACTCTAAAACTCTTTGAACACTATCATGATGTTACAAGTGGAAAATTCCAATCCCTGATTTCATGTGACTTTTGATAAGGGATACTCAATTTGTATATGGACATAAAGCTCTCTCTCTTTTTTTTTTTTTTTTGGTGGTGGTGGTGCTGGGGATTGAGCCCAGGGCCTTGTGCATGTAAGGCAAGCACTCTACCAACTGAGCTATATCCCCAGCTAAACAAAGCTCATTTTTTAGTCAATTTTACATAAGGAGGAAAACCTTTTGAGGGCAGAAATGACAAAGAGAGCAGTCTATAGTATCATGGTTAATGACGTATTGGAGCACAAATCAAACCTTTTCAGAGTATATTATACTTCTAAACTTTTTAATTATATGAGGCAATAAGTCCTCTTTATAATCTAAGCCAGTATAAACTGGCATCTGTGTTGACCAAAATAAAGTTTTTACCCAAATAAATATTTTTAAAGATATGGCTAAGTGAATACAATAATATAAACAATATAACCTAGGAAATATTTAAAACAATGGTTACCAAAGATGACTGTGGAGAAGTATCATTTTGGAATTTTTATAAACATAAAGATGAAGAAAACAGACTCCTGACCTACTGAATTCTAAATAACTGGAAGGGGGTCCTGAAAACCAGTATGCTTTGAAATCTGCTCTGATATAGCCATAGTGTAGGCTACATTTGAAACACAGTGGTCTTAATAAGAAAATCAACCCTTTTTAAACACTAATTCAAAATTCTGAGTACAAGCCATTAATATATATATAATCATATCCCACTATTATTAAATTCCTAATAGGATAATCTATTTCCTAAGGATGTCCAATAGTATTTTCCCTGTTTAATTTTATTATGTTTTAGTTTAATTTTACATATAACAAAAATGCACCATGGTAAATGACCAAGACTCACAAACTTATTTACATATATTCTCCACATTTCCAGAGTGAATATATTTTAAAACATAAATAGAGGGAAACTGTCAAGAGTCCTTAATTTAATTTCTTTCAATTCTGCTATCAGTTTCACTTCACATTATTTTCCATGTTAAGTTTCAGCTGGTCAGTTCCCTGTCTTCAGGGGTTGGTTCAATTTTGAACTCAAATCCTTTTCTTGGTTAACCTAGCTCTCAAACAGAAAATATTATTTTAAAGTTTGGTAAGGTATGATGAGGAACTAAACAAAATGTTTAGGATCTGAGAAAATTCCACACACATGACCCCTATGACCAATAACTAAGGTAACTGTTTTAAAGAATGAAGAAAAACCAAAGATTTGGGGACCAGGAAAATAATTCTTTAAACACTTGGAAGCATCAATATTTGATATGAAAATAAATGAGGGAAATATTCCAATTTTTTAACTTATTTATTTGGCAACGGTTTGACATAGTAAAATAAGCTATATTCTCTAATATAACAAGTGTGCGTATAGAGGAATACTGTACTAAGAGCAGTGATTTTTGTGTTCAACTACCTGGACTACTAGTGGCCTTTGCCATATACATTCACCTACTTTATTCCCACAATAAAAGGAATGAAGAGGAAGAGACAGATGTGCCTAGTGTGTGTCACATAATCTATAGTTTACTGAAAAACCAACAAGTGTGGCCCACAAAAAAAAAAAAAAAAAAAAAAAGGGATGTTAGGGGAGGGGAGGAGAAGGGGGGATAGATAGGGAGGGCAGCAAAATACAACTGACACTAGGATTGCTGTATGTATACACATGATGTATAACCAATGTGATCCTGCAATCTGTACGCGTGGAAAAATGAGAATTCATACCCTATTTGAATCAAATGTATGATATGTCAAGATCATTGTATTGTCTTGAGCAACTAATAAAAAAAAGTAGAAAAACTATCTGTGTAGTAGGAAGTAGATATTTTATTCAGAGGTAACTTTACCTACATCTACTTCATTCCAATACACCATTTAAAAGTTGAATAATTAAATGTGGTGGTACAGCAAGCCAGAAGATTAAAAAGAAAATTTAAAAAAGTATTTTCTATGGTTCTAAGCAACATGTGTTTGTATGTTACAGTGCAATAAAACCAAGATGAGTATGATGTTAAGTTGCTCTGAACAAGTGTTTGGGGAGAAAGTGGGTTTAGTAATGCATAACCATTAAAAAAGGCAAGAGAAAGAAAAGAACTTCAAACCTGCTTAAATGTATAAATTTATTCAGGTTTATTTTGCTAAAAAGAAATTGTAATAAGCATGTCTAAAAGGCCATTCTTGTTTGTTTCTTTATCTATGTTCTTAATGTTGGTTATAATTTACCCTATCTTGCCACAGGAAGAACACTTCCTTAGACAGGAAGATAGCTGATTTTAAAAGCTGTGTTTCAAGATGTGGGTTTTTAAATACCCTATATGATCAAACAATTCATTAACGAGTTTTTGAGAACTGAACCAGTTAACATCTAGTTAATGTACTAGATGTAACAGTGAGGTAGTAGAAAGCACCTTAGACCAGGAGGCAAATATAAAAGATCTAGGTTTTTATTTACATTCTAGTTTTCAAAATTTTCAAATCTATAGAAGAGCTGAAGTAACAGTAAAATGACACCATATGCCCTTTAGTTTTATTTACCAATTAGTATATTGCCATATTAGCTTCTGTTCTTTCTATTCATAATCCAACATATATTATGCATGCAATGTACTTATGTATGCAAACATATTTTTTCTGAACCATTTGAACATAAATTACAGATATCATGACATTTTACTATAAACTCCAAAATGCATCTTATAAGGAACTGTCCTATGTAACCAAATGCCATTATAATAATTTAACAGTAATTCCGTAATATCATTGAACATATACAGTTCCTATTCAAATTTTCCCCAAACGATTCAAATGTTTTATTTCTGTCCAAAATCAAACTAAGGTTCATGCTATATTTGGTTATTATATCTCCCTAGTCTCATTTAATGTATGATAGTCCCTTCTGTATTTTTTGTTTTTCATGACACTGTTAGCTTTTTTGAAGAATGTATTTGTTCAAGCTAAAACAGAAAACCTCCTACTCCAATGAAACTCTAAGGAATAGTTTTATTCCTTTTTCAAACCAAATAGGTATGAGATATATATATATATATATATATATATATATATATATATATATAAAGGTTGCAGGTTAGATAAAGGGAGTTAGTTATGGAAGACATAGGCAAAGAAAATTAAATATCTTAAAAGCAGAAAACTTATAAGAATAGCACTAGAAGACAGCTTTTTATATAATACACTGGTAAATACATATTTTGTTATTTATATATGTATTTTATTATTTACCTTTACAAATATTTGGTAAAATATAAACAATAAATATTGGTAATTGCGGGGGTTTTTGGGGTCTCTCTCTTTTTTTTGTACTGGGTATTGAACCCACGGCACTTAACTACTGAGCCACATCCCAAATCCCCTTTTTCTATTTTATTTTGAGGCAGGGTCTGGTTGTGTTGTTTAGGGTCTCACTAAGTTGCTGAAGCTGGCTTTGAACTTGTACTTGTTATCCACCTGCCTTAGCCTCCCAAGTTGCTGGGATTATAGGTGTATGCCACCACAACCAGGCTTTTTTGGTTTCTTAGTAAGAGACTAACCTATAGAATTTATTTATTTATGGTTTTTTGTTTTTGCCTTTTTTTTTTGGTATTGGGATTGAACTTGGGGGCACTCAACCACTGAACTACATTCCCAGCCCTATTTTGTATTTTACTTAGAGACAGAGTCTCTCTGAGTTGCTTAGTGCCTCGCCATTGCTGAAGCTGGCTTTGAATTCGCAATCCTCCTATCTCAGCCTCCTGACAGGCTGGGATAACAGGCATGTGCCATCATGCCGCCTAGGTTTAATTTTTTAATCCTATGAAATTCAAAGAACTTTCTCCAGGGTTGGGGGTGAAGCTCGGTACAGTGCATGGATAGCATGGATAAGGCCCTTGGTTCATCTCCAGCACCATAAAACAAACAAACAAATATAACTGTCTATATTTGGTATCATTTTAATCATACATAAAAGACTTTTAGCTATCTATCTTCCCCCCAAGGGGATACACTGTTCCTGGAAGACTGCAATACCAGGGGGATATATGGAGAGGGTAGAGCAAGCTCCTATTTCATCTCCCTGCTCCAAATCCATTTGATAACTTGTCCTTGGATAGAGGATATATCAGATATTAAACTGATAAGAATGGATACTACACTTATCCTAGCCAAAAGGTTCAGAAGTGATCGGCCTGTTACTTTTGTCATCTGTCTCACTGAGAAAAAGTATTCTATAGAATAGGACTAAAATTCTGAAAAAGTATATTGTTAGTGTTCCACCAACCACAATACCTCTAAGAAAGAGAAGACTTGCTATAAAAGGAAAAGTATCAAATAGGCACTCATTAAGTTTTACTTTGTTAACTGAAAGTGCTCACATGGCTGGAAAACTCTGTAGCTAAAGAAAATTTGATTCATTTTCTATATAATGGAATTATTTTGATTCCTTATTTTTCACTTATGGGAGCTAGCTCAGTAAAAGATTCATCTCTGTTTTTATTCTTTGGCCTTTTCTTGGATACCACAGAATTAAACTTCAAATAGGACCAATAGGCACTCTTTTGTGTTGTGTCTTTTTTGGATAAGAAAAAGATGTATGGTGATATATTCCATTTGCTAATGATAAACACTGTCATACTAGCTAAATTAAGATCCTGACAAGTCCTTTAGACAGTGGTGTGAATCAGATACCAAAACTTTTTCAAGAATTAATTCCAAAAGGCTCTTCTGGATCCATGTGAAAATTATTTCCTCTTTTTGTCATTTTACCCCTATTGCTGTTACTCCAGATCCTCTTCTTTAAGCTTGATGACTATTATGATGACTACTTCCTTACTCTGGATTCTTATCACTACATCTTTCTTTTAAACAAGACTTTATCCAGATTAAGAAATAAATTCTCACAGGCTAGAGATGTGGCTCAGTGGCACAGTGCTAGCAGGCATGCCTGAGGCCCTGGGTTTGACCCTCAGAACTGCAACAAAACAAAACAAAACAAAAACAAAAACCCAAAATGAAACAAAAATAATAAATTCTCTTTTTGTAGCAAGGTCCCTTTGTGTGAAGTCACTGTAATTCTTTTTTTATCGTTGAAATACCTATCCTCCCCACTGGAACCTTAAGTGTATTTCTCCTCACAGGAGGCTTGATGTAAGCACAGCCAAGCCTCACTAGGACTGTTAAATTAAAATGTACTCAGTGGTTAACTAACTTATCTTTCTCTTTTCTTTTTCTCCCTTCTTCCTTCCTTCCTTTGATTGGGGATTGAACCCAGAGGCACTCTACCACTAAGCTATATCACCAGAACTTTTACGTTTTTATTTTGAGACAGAGTCTAAATTGCTGAGGCTGGTCTCAAACTTGGGATCCTCCTGTCTCAGCCTTCTGAGCTGCTGAGATGACAAGCATGCACTACTGTGCTTGACTTGTTTTTTATTTTGAATATATCTTATGTATATTACAGAATACCAATTATACTTATTGTTATGTTATCTGTCATCTATGTCTGTTAGCTAATAGTTCTATATTCTTTTTATTTATTCTGATTATTTCAAGCTTTTCCTCCATGCCAATATTTTTTACATTTTAGTATCATCGACTGAATATAATTTTATTCACTGAATAGATTAAACTTTTGTGATTTCTGCAATAATATGCTGGCTTCAGTTTGTTTTCTTAGAAATCTTCCTGTTGACCTCATATTATCATCTTGTTTTTTGATATCTGAACTTTATTGAATTTATGTTGTTTTTACAGTGTGAAGTCACTGTAATTCCTTTCTTATCCTTGAAATACCTATCCTCCCCACTGGAACTTTTGATTTGCAAATGCTCTCTCTTTCTCTGTTATAATAACATAAACCATAATGCCAAGCCATCTCTTTTCATCATGTTCATAGTATATGACTGTCCACGTGTTCCAAATACTCTAATAATTTGGCTAACAATAACTCTCTGCAGCATTTGAGATCCATTTCTTTTGTCTTCCACTCTCAAATTCACTCTCACTTTTCAACTAAGGGAACAGCACAAGGAGAGAAAGAACCTGGCTAAACTCGGGCTCTATTTACTCTTCTGAGATGTTCTTAGATATTTTGCACCATTTAATTTGGGGACTATATCCCCCAAGCTAAGTTTAGGATTCTGAGTGTATCTCAAAAGTAAGCATGATGGTTGCTCTAGGCCTTCGTTTTAGCTAAGACAGGTGTCTATGTCTCATCTCTCTCACTGCCTTGGTTCTTGGAGAAGTCTCTACCACTTCCCAGTTGGAAAATTAAACACTTGTTTTCTTTCTCTCCACCCTTGGGATGTGAATGAATTCTCTTAGGATTCTGCTGACTTGCCTACAGAGCTTGGAGTGTGGGACAGGAGGGAACAGACAGCTGACTTAGGAAGCCATGATTTGCTGGGGCTCTCTGCTCTATAACTGCCTATTTATTTTGTTAGCTGTAAGTTTTTAAAGTTTATTGCATTAGGTTATGCTCCTTTTCTTCTCAGGTTGCTTTTGGTGGAAAATATTTTTTTACCTTTTAGAAACATTATTATTTACTTTTTTGTCAGATGGTTGGTGTAATTCTGAGATGTTTTAATCTACCTCTGGAGCAACATTTATATAAATAAATGTATCTTTATTTAAATATGTAAATATGTATTTATTTAAAATGTAGATGCTCCTCAATTTATAATGGGGTTATGTCCGATTGTAAAAATCCAAAGTATATCTAATAAACCCAGTTTATGAACATCACAGGTCAGCAACACATTGCACTGCAGAGTACTGGTTATTTACCTTGGGGATTATGTGACTGATGGGCAGCAGCAGCTCACTGCTACTTGGGAGACAACAGTATTCAGCATATCAGTAGCACAAAAACATCAAAATTCAAAATCTGAAGTCTCATTTCTACTAAAAGCATATCATTTTTGCACCAACATAAAGTTGAAAAATTCTAAGTCTGAGGATTGTCTATAATTAGAACCTGGTACCTGTTCTTAATGGTATAGAATGTTCCTCTTGTTTGTGACTGTTTTCTCCTTTATAAAAATTAATTCAGCAAAATTTTTCAGTACCTATTATATGCCAGGTAATAGGCATACAGTAGTAAATATGACAAAGTTCTAATATATGTATAAAATGTATGAAAGTTAATTTTTAAAGTGAAGATAAACTCAGACACTGGTAAGAGTCATTAAAAATGTAAAAAAGCTGAGCACAGTGGCCGTGCATGCCTGTAATCCCAGCAACTCAAGAGGCTGAGGCAGGAGGATCACGAATTCAAAGCCAGCCTCAACAAAAGCTAAGCAACTCAGTGAGACCTTGTCTCTAAATAAAATACAAAATAGGGCTGGGGATGTGGCTCAGTGGTTGAGTGACCCTTAGTTCAATCATCAGTACCCCCCACCAAAAGTAAAATATGATGATGACATAGAGTGAGTAAGGGTCCTACTTTATATGATGATCAGGAAAAATCTTTGAGTCAGTAACTGCTGAGATTTAAATGATGAGAAGGAACCAGCCATGAGAAGATCAAGGAAACTGAAAATGTAGGAAAGAGAAAGAACAAAAGCCTTAATGTAGGAATGAAAGATCTTTATTTGAGAAACGCAAAAAAGTGGATGTTGCTTCAATCAACTTGTAAAGGGGAATGTAGGTTAAGAGGTACCAGAGAGGGGATGGAGTTGTGGCTCAGTGGTAGCGTGCTTGCTTTGCACGCATGGGGCACTGGGTTTGATCCTCAGTAGCACATAAATAAATAAATTAATAAAATAAAGGTATTGTGTCCATCTACAACTAAAAAAAAAATTAAAATAAAAGAGGTATCACAGAAGTAGGCAGGATCCAGACAACTCGGGGATATTAGGGCCATAGAACAAGTGCTGTACTTTCGCTAAGTTGACCAGATTCCTTTGTTGCTTTTTTCTTATAATTATTTGGGAATTTTGATTCTTATATTCTGTCTAGCAATGGTTACCTTAAAAGTTATTTAAATGAATGTGCATTTTGAAAACTATGATAATTGTATAATTCATATAAAGAGTGAGCTCCTACCCTTTGCTACTCCTGTGCATCAAGCTCTTTATAATGTCCAGGGTGAATATTTCAACAGTTTTGATGGAGATCACTATACGTAACAAAAACATATATGCATATGGATTTAAAAGCATATATAGTAATGTACTCATTATATACTTAAAATGTACAGATAAGCATATTCTGTCTTCAACACACATGCACACACTTTACATAAACACTCATATACAGATACCTGCATAAATTATTTAACTCATGCAAGTGGAAATATGACAAATACTCTGTCCATAATTTGCTTTTTTAAAAATATATATATATATATTTAGTTGTAGTTGCACACAATAGCTTTATTTATTTATTTATTTTTATGTGGTGCTGAGGATTGAACCCAGCGCCTCGTATGTGCTGAGCAAGCACTCTACCGCACAGCCACAACCCCAGCCCCATAATTTGCTTAAAAAAAAATTATAAATATATATACACACATATATATATGCATATATTTTTAAATTGTAGTTGGACACAATACCTTTGTTTTATTTATTTTTATATGGTGCTGAGGAACAAATACAGTGGTTCCCACACGCTAAGGGAACGCTAGGGGAACGCTCTACTGTTGAGGCACAACACCAGCCCCTCCCATAATTTGCTTTTTAATCACTTAATGTCTTATAGAGATATTTCCTTATTCTTCCTAAAGGAAGTCAAATATTCTAGAGTATGAATATACCATGGTTTAAATGTTCTCCTATTGATGTGTGATTAATAAATTTAAAAAATACTGTAATTGAGTTTGATTTCCAGTACCAAAAACAAATCATAACCCCCCTCCCCAAAATACTATAGAAGTAATGTTGGAACTATGCACCCATCCTAAGAACTTACATAAAGAACACAAATCTAGAGTACAAATAAAAATAAGAACAGGAATTAGTAAAATATAAAGGAAAGGTAGTTTATCACTTAAATTTGCAATTTTTACTAGTATCGTACTAGCCATTGGTTTTTTTAGATTGTATGTATTGGCTGCTGGAAGTGCCACAGCCTTCTCCTTTTTTGAATTTCCTTCAGAAATTTAATTTTTCAAAGGCTGATAATTAGTTATTAAGGTCTTACATATTAACTTTAAAACATGAAATAACTACTTAATACATCTTA